CACCTATTACGCGCCTTTCGGACCTGAATTTTTCCCCGTGGAGAATTTTTCTTCTAGCTATTGTTTATTACTTGTGAGCATATAGGTATCATTATGGCGAAATTTGGAAGCTATTCGATCACAAACAAAGAAACTAAGAAGCTTTGAAAATTGGCCCACCTTCTTAGTTTTTAAGCTTATGTCGAAACAATTCGAAATTTCATAGTTATGCCGAAAAAGTTTATAATCTTGCATAACATTATAACCCATAATTTTGATTTAAGAATGGATCTACTTCAAGTATTTTAAGAAAAAGTGACACTTACTTGGCCGGTTGCGGGGACCAGCGCCGATTCATTGTTGCACTTGTACACAAATACTTGTAATACTAACAGCAACACACAATGAAATGGCAGGTTTAGCTCATAATTAGGAAGGGGAAGGTTGACTGAAGCAACCTCTAGCAGGATTAGAAAAAACCATGCTGTTTCAGCGGAAAATGCAAGCGTTTGAATTTGGTGGTGGCAATTGCCACCGCCAGGGCCGAAAGGGTTAATCAAATTTCCCCACCCTTGTTTCGTACAGCAATTGCGCCTTCACTAAGGCGTTGGACGATTACTGAATGGTGTCGAGGACAATATACTACCTCAATCTTTGCTCCGTAATGCCGCGAAGGACATGATCCCGATAACCATCACGGGTATTTTGCCTGAAACTCGGATGTTGAGTAATGTATGAACTGGTGGAATTGGTTGTACGCTTTTAAAATGCATGGCCATTATGTTGTCAGATTTTCGACAGTGTGCTCGTCGCTCCCATGGCATGAAAGTTCTGCACAATTTCATTCAGGATAGAATATTAATATGGATGCAGCTAGGGGCGGAAGTGGTGTAGTGACAAGTGGCGCGCTCACCACGCGAGCGGTCCGGGATCAAATCCTGGGTCGTGAGTCGCCCGGGCCAACCAAGCCTTCCATCCCTCCGGGGTCGGTTAATTGGTACCAGACTTGTCTGGGAGGATAAAAACACTGACTTGTACATCGGCTGGCCCCCGCAAGTCATTGTATAGGCCACATCGCATTCAAACGCCAACGAATGTACAAATGGAAGTAGAATGCGTGCCGCATCTCCACAAAGGCGGTGGATCAACCGGCAAGTTCCTCATTCCTTATCCTTTAAGACGGCACTTGAAAGTGGTTTGCTGTGGTCTTGGTATTTTTACAAAATTTTACTCGAAAGGTGCTCGAAAAAGCTTGTTTTTCAGTGCAGCATGATTTGATAAAAGCCTCACGCAGTGATGCTGTAAAAGCGCTGACCTGTAATTGATGGAACTTCAAAATGGTACCCTTTCAGGATGGGTTGGGGTTACGTGTCTAGCCCATTCTGATCTGGAAAATGTAGAACGAATGTATGAACACCAGTTCGCGACAAGCAATTGGGATCGAATTAACGTCGTCGCTTGATTCAGCGCTGTTTCCGATAAGGTGTGTTTCTGAGAGAGGAAATGTTTTAGCATGTATAGTATGTATCTCTGTTTAATCAGAAGTTTTGTTCAAAGGTGTTCGATTGGAAATATCGTCGGCAAATCTGCGGTATGAAGTGGAAAACGACCGCTGAAAATAATCTCGTAGATGATCTATATATATGACGACAGCCACCTCCAATGGGGTGTCTAAAGCGCTTTCCAAGCCCGAAAACGAAGTCTTGAAGACGACGAGCGTGAACATCTCAAAAGTGGTGGATAACGAGGAACTGATTGTGAGGGAGGCCATCAAGTTGTGCCTACACATGGTCCATTTCGCCAAGGTACAACATATGCAACAAGGTTTGGCTGCATCCAAACCTTATGTTATATCTCTTGCGTGCAATTATCGCAGTAGAGCTGGCTGGTGATGAGGTGGATTCCGTACCAGTCACGCTGGCAATTTATATACTCTGCGTATCTCGGAGTCTGATTAGGCTTGTCCATGTGTTTGATGGGGCGGCCGCCGCACTTGATAGAAGTTGCGCGGATATTCTGCTTCCAAGGCTATGATTGTTGATATCTGGCGGAGTTTGTTACATCAAGAGCATTGACGGCCACGTTAAATTCAGTGAATCCCCTAATCAGATTTCGAGATATAAAGTGTATCTTAAAGCGCTATTTGACGTTAAGCATACGCGTGCGCATTGCGCGTCAGAATTGCGCGATTGTTCATGATTTTGCTCGATTCACTTGATATTTTTTATGTTAGAACGTTGTCCGTCTAGACCATTGTATCTAGAAAATACTATACCTATTAACACATTCACGACGACGCCCCTTTTCCACTTTTCGGACGCGTGGGACGCACGCGATTTTGTGGGCGCCGCCGCCTCACCACATAACCGCAGTTCTTGTTTTGTAAATGAACAAATCCCGTAATATAGTGCGGCAGCCAAAAATAATAATTTCGAATGGACCGACAAATAGTGGTTGCGAAAATAAATACCATTTATTCCAGCTTTTCCCCTGAAGGATTCTGAAAAAGCATTTTACAACTCGATTACGAAGTTTGCCCACTCATCTGTCCTAGCGCCTAGCAAGCGATTATCAGTTGGCAGCCCATATGGGCTGCCACCGTCCCAGAGCGCATGTTGTTGGCAGCCCATATTGGCGGCCATCAGCGTGAATGTGTTAACAGTATCGAAATTAATAAAACTTCGTATAGCATACACTTTTGGAAAACATAAAAAAGATCCGGGCTTTGGTCATTGTGGTAAGACGACCTCTGGCATTGATTCTTTTAGAATCTACTATTCAATGTGTCTAATGACAATACATTCTGTGGATGTAGACGACAAGGATTTAAGGAAACAGCTTTGCTTATTGTAGTTGTATGTTAGAATAAGATTGAATGTCTAGAAACAGGCTTATCCACATGTTTGTTTGTGTATGGTGACACTTTGTCCTCTTGGTTGCAATTTGATAGGATATTATCTCTCACAGTAAGTGTGTTATCAATTAAGAATGGGCAGGCGTCAACCTTCTCGTGTTGGGACACAATGTCATAGATCATACTGCCTCCACCACAGCTTCCAGCGTGTACCACTTCCAAATGGTCAGCGTGTTGCCAGATACCATCTTGACACAGTCCCAGCTCCGCCTCAAAATTACTAGAAAGTTCAATCAACAGGGAAATACACAACATTCGAAAAATCAAGTTGCTGTGTGAGTCTCTCCAAGTACGGAGCTCTGCAAAAATCAGAATTACAGCCACGTCGTTGAACTTGGCCGGAAGGCTGACCCTGACCAGGTTTCTTATCTGGACAATGAATGAAATCGTTCTTGTTGCAGTGAATGCTAATTGTGTAAGATGCACTGAAAACTAAACTGCTATTTTGAATGCTACTGATTGGTGAAATTGGTATTTTTACCTTATGAATCTTATTAGATTTTCAGTTCCGCTACGCATCTAGATGAATCCATTCGATCCAAAGGTACGTGCACGAAACGCTGCGAGAGCTGGTAAGTTCTTTACTTCTAAGCGTGTCCTAACTCTTCCGAAGGTAACTGCATTCGCGGTAGAAATCGGTCTCACAGGTGCTGCTAGGTTATTGGAGAGATAGAAATAGGGAAGAAGTTCAGTTCTCGTCCTCAGGCAGGTCACCTGAAATCAGGACACCCTGATTTGCTCGTACGAGCCTATAACAGCCTAAGCCCAATCATAGGCTCAACCATAGCCTGAGCCCAAGCTTATAGCATTGGGCTTCAATGATCGCAGCAGATCTGGAAGACCCTAACCCAAGACGGAAAGCTTGCAACGCAAACGTTACTAGATGCGAGGTTTGTCTGCCCATCAACCAATCGCCATCTTTTCTCAATCGCGTGAGTCGTTGAGGGTAGACTAGAACTCGTGTGTCTA